GAGGAATCCCAAATATTCGCCTTCCCCGAACAGACAGGACCAAATAAGGCCCAGATGCCCAGAGAGTAAACACGAGGCCGATCGACCAAGTTTGGGCAAATGCGATTCAGAGTTCCCCGCTGCTCCGGATTTTGCCTTGCAGGATAAACTGAGTAATTCTGTGTGTGTGTGTGCACTCATTCTTGTTGAAAAAGGAAGTCTCTGCGCAACCTCCGTCCATCTCTGTCAGCCCCGAGTGCTTGTTTGTGAGGACCGCACGTCTGAGGTGTTCAGCCCCGAACCAAAACCACGAACAAACCATTCCACAAGGCAGATACATTGTGGATGTGGGACTAAAACACCCACTGCACCCCCCAAAATGTGTGCGGCCGCCGTTTCCTGACCTGTCAGACAACGAAGGCTGTCTGAGGGTTTGCAAAGCGGCTCGCAAAAAGGAAGACAGACACCTTGAAGTGGAAAAGTAACGACGCTCCCACAGATGATCTGCAGTTGTAACCAACGACCAGGCGCAACAAAGCGTCGAAACTGAATTAAACACCGCTCGACGGCGAGAACTGCTACGTAAGTGACATTTATTAATGTTCTGCTATATTTACAGTTTGAACATAGTAAAACTCCAAAGTGAACTGCCACTTGGCAGAAAGCACAGGAGTGCACATTCAATCTACACTTAGGACGCGTCGCAGTCTCCGCTAACACAGATTAGAAAAGCGAGGGTTACGGGGACGATGGGAATTGGCTCGAAAGGCCCAAAGCCAAAGGGAAAATGAAAAGAGGGGAAAAAAAAAAAGGCCTTTGTATGGCAAGGGAATTTTTTCATACAAAGTTGCAACGTGATATTTCGTTTTTACACTACGGACGTGTGCTGTGAAAACCCCTAGAGAGTCCCCAAAGTAGGCAGTGTGAAAGTAAAGTAGACTACAACACTGGGAGCGTAGACTATTTTAAAAAAATTAATACTTGTGCCACCTTCAGAATAAAACTCGGCCCCGGCACCGCAGGAACCTGCCCCCAAACTCCTGGCAGCGCGGGGCAGAGGAAATGAAGCTTAAGCCTGGCCCCTGCTGGCCCCGAAATCTCTACAGCAACTACGGGTGTAAGGCTTCATCAGCACGGCACGGACTGCACTGCAACAGCGTCGTCAAACAGCAGCCACTAACGAGTCGACGATCACAGGCTGGGCGTTAATTATTACAGTGGTAACACCTAGGAACGGACAGACAGACAGAAAGAAAGGCTTCTCCTTACGTTTTCTTTTCCCAACAGTACTTTTATTGATTGATTCATTGGAAAGCAGGTGATTATTGTTGCTTCTGCTCTTGATTCACTTCCTGCAGGTGTCCTGCTGCCTCTGGAGGGGGGATTCGCTGGCGCAGGAAGACGCTCGCCAGAACACAGCTGTGGGAGGAGGATATTGGACACGGGAGCTATAGTTAGAGGGTTATTTTGGCGAGCACAAGGATGTCGGTCACAAAGCACAGGATGTCTAAAGGTGCTGAAGGGTCTCGGGACACAATGACGTGACTTGAGCAAAATACTTGGTAGTTTTGTGTGTAATTTACGGCTCTGAAGGGTTAAAGGGGCTCAGGAAGGACCACGGCCCCCACCAGCACACACAAACACCAACCTCTCCATTAAATTCACTTTTCACCACTTATTACCTTCTGTTTTGCATTAATTATTCCTCTCCTCCTAATTTTCTAAACATTATCCCCGGTCTAAAATGAGAGTTACCATTCGCCGTGCCCGTGTCGTTACGCCCCGCAGAGGAAATCCAGTTTTATGAACAACATCACACTGAAAAATCCAAGCGGTTTCCCTGCTCAGAATTCAAGATTAAAAGATTTCTTTCCAGGGGAAGTGTCAAAGTTGTAATACTGAGAAATTATTCTCAATATATTTTATATCTAAAGCAGAGGGTGCTTTTTCAAAGCTCAAAAATGACCGAAAAACTGCACACAGATAAATATTTGAGAGGTTACTGCAAACTCCATACCTTTGTTAAACAGCACTGAAATGAACTGAATTCTTTTTACCCACTGTCACCAGTGGAAAACCCAACCTGAAAACCCTGTTGTGTGTAGCACATCCTCATTGCAGAGCAGAAGCAAAGCAGAATTTGACACAATTTGCAGTTTCTAACCAAAGCAAAGCGCGTTTGGAAAGAATCAAGGCCGAGTTCTAAAACCTGAACAGTTTCACAACCCCCAGTTCCAACCTGGGGTCGGTTTGGCTGCTTCACGCCCTGTCCCTGCTGCGACCGCTTCAACCCTGCACGGGGGAAATGCAGCTTATGATGCTGTTTGCAAAGGGAGCATCACTCACACCCAGCATCTGGGAAGCACCTTCCCCTGGGGACATTTATCTGCTGTAAGCAGGAAATTACACCGCAAGGGTTCAACTGTTTGAGCCTCCCTCTTTAAGGTCCCATTAAGAAGGTGGAAATGTTAAGGTTCAGCCTTAAAGCAAAAGACTTTTAGGCGCGAAGGTTTCTGAAAGGCACTCAGGATGCGGGAGGGGTTTTCAAAGAGCCAAGGTGTGCAAGGGTTTAATTTCTTCAGGAACTTGGCAGGAAATTCAAACAACATCCAAAATTCAGACAAATTACTCCTTCTGGGACACAAGCCAGACTCTGGCACAAGCTTCCAACAGCATTTTGTGACCTTTACTGGTGTTCAGGACACACCACGTGTTTCGGGCACGCTGTTTATTCGAAAGGCATGCCTGCCAAATACAGTGCAACACCGAGGGGCAGAGATTTTGTTCTTATAATCCCAGTTATGCCATCTATTGAATAAACAATTCCTCAAAGCAAAGACTCAGGAAGAAACGTCAGGCGTTCCTCTGCTCCCCACCATGTCAGTCTGGGCTCTGTGGAAACAGGAGCTGTGTATGGGATACCAAGAAACAACCGTTTTCTGCTGCCTTGTGTCTTAAAACTACTCAAAGAAAGAGAAGTCTGGCCTAAAAGAGTCACTAAATGGAGTTAAAACTGAAACAGAACGAGTTCAGGAAAGCAGAAAGTTTACCTTTAGTAAATAAAGAGAACTCTGGTTCTGGGGAGAGTGGAAAAAGTGTCTGGCATCTTCCTAACCTTTGAATAATTAATAAATCCTCTGAGAAACAGCAGAAAACCTGGAGGGGAGAAACACATTTGTTAACACAGGCATTGTTCCTTCAGTTCAAGAGTGGCAGCAGGACTCACCCACACCAGTGCGGAGGGACAGAGGCTGCTGGGATGCACAGCGGCTGATTTAATACAAGATTAGTTTTGCTATCAATTAAACCTGATTTTTCCATTTCAGGCAATCTCATAAACAAACTTTCCTCGGCCAACCACAAAACTTTTGACTCCAAATCAAATCCAATCACTTCCAAAGGGGGAAAAGAGTTAAAAAAAGAAAACCACAACCCACGTCCATTTAAGATATAATGGCTGCAACATCAGTTACTATGAAAACAAGCACTGTCCTCCTCTTTGCTCCTTCTGGATGATGAATAGGATGCTGCCCCCAAGAAATGACAGCAAAAGGACAGTGTTTGTGTGTACCTTTAAAATGTAGATGGCATTTAGTAAGAGTAGTCCAAGAGTTCTATATCAGATTTACATCTGTACACACGTATTTTAATAGCCAGTTAAAAATACTCTGTAAGGAGTTTGAAGCACTCACCTAGTACAAGGAAGACCCACCAAAGCCAGTACTGGCCATCAAAGTAACCAGGAAAATAGGTGGAGAACTGAAAAATAATAATAATAATTAAACAAAAGATACAAGTTGGAGCACATGGCAGTTTCTGAACCCAACTCTATCCTCACCAATCTTTCACCTGGAAGACCAGGTTTGCAGCAGTGCCTAACATGAATTAAACTGCACGTCTGGATGGCATAGCAAACACAATTACAGCTGACAAACAAATCCCGCATCTGTGGAGCTGTTTGACAAAACTTTCTATAGGGAAAAACCAGTGCCTATCGAATGAAAGGCTCCGACACCGCTAAGAGCACTGAAGTTTGCTACGTCAGTGGTAAATACAGCACAAACTTTTTGTTCCCATTCTGTTCCAGTTTAAAAACCTTAACAAAAGGTAAGCTCGTTATCAAGGTTTCAATCAAATCCACAGTTAAGGTCACCTGTTCCTGGCACACCTCTTAATCCAGCAAACAGTGTTTAACACCACTGCTGGGAGATGACCCCAAAAAGCTTAACTCTCTACAGAAAAGTTAACAGCAGCTGTACGCACAAATTACAGTTCCTAGCCCCAGATGACCAGGCATGGAGTGATACTAATGCTCTCTACTTCTACTCTTCCAGCCCGGGACGTCTGCATAACATTTTCACAGGGTG